ACCGCATTTGCAAACTGCACTCGTAGTCTTATGTCCATGAGCTTGGGTCAGTAGCTGTGTATCCGTACTGTTGAGGTGCTCATTCTCCCCCCCTCTCGGGCACCTCTGGGGGTATTTTATAACAGATAAAAAAAAATTATGTGCATTTTTCTTTTTGAAATATGTTATTACACAACAGGGAAGTAGTGTAGTTGACATTGTGGACAACTTTCACATGATGAAAAATGTTATTTTTTCAGAAGAGATATTCGGTGCATCATCTTAAAGGCAACATGTTTTGTTTTTTTGCATAATGATTAACTGTATTAGCATTTCAGTGTGATATCACTATAGTGTGTTTAGCAGAAGAATTCAGAGTAAAACTTTTAAATGCATGCACACGGAAACTGATTTGGTGTAGGATTTACTTTGAAACAATTTTTACTCTTTGTGTAGATTGTGTAAATAATTCCAAAGAAATCGCAAGTAACACATTGAATTAAATGTAAAATTTTGAAGTATAAAGGATATTTTCTTGTAAAATGTACCTAAGTAATCTTTGTTTAATTGACAGCTTCAAAAAATTATTTTTACAGTGTAGATACACTTTAGCCAATGTAAATATATGTTTCTTATGCTTGTACTAATTGTTTGATTGCTGAATGATCCTAGTTCCTACTTATATTCCGTGTTCTGTACTAATAGTACTTTATTTTGTGTTCTCTGCCTTGTAGAACAGGATCGTATCCCTGTCATGAGAGGCCAGTGGTTCATTGACGGCACATGGATGCCTGTAGAGGAGGATGAGAGCGACCTCATAGAGAAAGAACACCTGGCGTGCTTCCGAGGACAACAGATACAGGACGCTTTTGAGACTGACACGCTGGCCAAGACTGTGGACAGAAAAGATGGTGAGAGACTCTATTACTAGCACATTATTTGGTTGTTCTAAAGAGGTTCATTGTAAAAAGAGAGCATTCGTCCTCTATGTGAGGCTGTTAGTTAGTTTAGAAGTATTGGGAAATGAATGACGAATCCATCAGTGAAAGGTTTTGTTCCTGACAAGGTCACACCTGCCCTTATTGTCGTCACCTGTTGAAAAATGACAGAGCGGAATGCGTGCGTGACTGAAATGCTCCTCATACCATTTCTAAAACATCATGATTGCATTTGCATCAAAAACTTTTTTTTTCTATCATTTCTATCCATAAACACACAAGCCCTTTTTCACTGGCAGGGTGCTGGTGCTATCTGGAACCACAGAAAATTTGCTCCACTGGAAAAATTGCAGGAACATCTGCTCCACACTGACCCCTAAAACAAGCTGGTCTCAGACCAGGAAGGACTAATATGGGGAGAGAGATCTTTTAAACAATACGTTTTCAAAACAACAATAACTTATTCTGGCAATACTGACACAAATTAACACTGGAAAGCATACAACTAGATAGATAAAACTATAGTGCGTATGTCACATTGCACAGTGGCAGTTGTTTAATACTAAGTTCGTGTAAAATAAAATATTATTTACAAATATCATATGTTAATTTGATGAGTTTATATTAATTATACATTTAAAAAATTCTGTCCCTTGCATTAAAAGCAGCTTGTGATGGCCTGATGCTTAATCAGTTTATTTGAATGTTCTATAATGATATCTATGACATAATCTATAGTGATGTATGTAAGACATTCTGCATAAAATTCTGGGTTGAGCATTGACAAGAGGGTAGCACACAGAGAGCACTGATTATTATTTTTTAAATACTTTAAATTAACATTTTTGCTGGAGACAGCTGGAGACATTTTTGCTGGAGACAGAAGGCCATGTCATGACAGCTGAAGAGAGGATTTTTGATACTGAGGATCTGGATGTCCTCAAATTACACTTTTGCAAATAGCAAAAATCTCTTAATTTTCCAGTGAGCCAATGTGACTCATCTCACATTGAGATGTTACAATAGGGTCTAAGGAGCTAGGTAAATTTCTCCTTTCTTTTAAACTACACTACAATTTCACTGTCTTGTAGGCCACTTACTCTAGAGGTGCTAAATTTAGGTCATACAAAATTACATCCAATGTGTATTTAAACATTGAGTTACATGAACGCTGAATGAACATCTTCCACTGGGATGTAACTTTTAATCACAAGTAAAGGTTCATTAGATTAAAATGTAACTTTCTTGTGCAGAAAATCTTGTCTAATCTCCTCTAGTCAGTAATCCAAATCTCGTCATCTGCACTTTTACAGTTTTGTCCTATCAGGATAGCAGATTATATCGAATAAGCAATTTTGTTGAATAATCGACCTTGGAGTGTCACAGGGTTCTGTACTGGGACCTAAGTTAGTCTTAGTCTTAAATAATTCGGGTGTAGCTTCTTTTGTTTTCAGTCCATTGTAACAGCAGTTTCATGCTGGGCATCACACTTTTCATTACACAAGACACACATTTTGGTGTCAGAATCAATGTGTTTACAATCTTCAAAAAAGTCAAATCTGCCAGTAGCTTACTTATATAGTAATTGACTTTGCATGTTAAACTGAGACGTGAGAACATTTTTATTATATGCTACAAATCTTGTGTTTGAGACATTATAGTGTAAAAATCTCTTTTACAAATGCAGACTTGTCCCCAAGGAATAAAATAAATGTTAAAAAAGGCTTGTTTTAAGGGTCTGCTGTGTTGGGAATGAGTGCTTGGGTTTTGAAAAAGGAGAGAAATGTTCTGCATTGGTTGGTGTGTAAGAAATAAAGGGAAGGAAGGACAATAAACAATACAGCCTCACAATAGAATCTAAAACATTTCACTGAGTTATTTAGGAATAGGATCCTATTACATGCACATCATTTTCTGATTAAGGTCTGTGTTCTAGTTAAGTCTTTAAACTCAGAAAGGTTTAGATGCTTCAGAGGTGTTGGAATGTGCCTGTGTGCAGGAGCTGTATAAAATGTCAGCAATGTTTTGCTGGTTTATTATGGAAGTACCAGAGATATTCTCCTTGTCATTTATTACACTGCATATTTAGCAGTTCTCTGCAGTAACTTGTTAAATTGTGTTTATGTCACACAAGCACAGTGATCTAAAAGTGTAGACTCTAACGGTGCTTTGTCTTAATTTAGTTTTGGCAATGCACAATGCGTACATAATTACAAAAAAATGTAATTTAATAAAGCCATATTCTTGTGCATGTAAACATGGTTAGTAAAAGATCAAAGTATTAAAACAACAGCTCCCTTAAACACTGAATGAACAAAAGACCAGTTATGTCATTTGGATTTGTATGAGTTTGTGATTTACATGGTAGAGTATAGAGTCTTTACTATTGAAACATTTATTGGTTAACAAATCTGAAATAAGAAATGTGTCCTGGGTCATATCACATGCTTTCACTTTGAAATCCTTAAAAAAGGCCCTTATAAACATGTAAGAAGCATGATTTTCATGTGTTACTAACACAGGTCTTGATGTTATTGCCTTTCTTGCTTAAGTGTGCTGCTGGAATGACACAATTTGAGGGCATTACTTGTATTTTGAGTTGAATGTTATACAGTACAATGCAGTCTCATAATACTGTGGGTTTTTATTAAAACTAAGATTTTGTGTTAGAGTGATATAGTAAAGTGATATTGCCAATAACATGACCACTTACTGTTTCTTGGTTTGTTAGTTCTTTCCCATTTACCCCCATTCTACCTCCCCTTTCTATTCAAATGGAGCGGATATCAGACGAGCGCTAAAAGTCACAAGCGAAAGCGATGTCAAGGTACTACAACCCTCTGTTTTTACTCCTTGTAGATGCTGATTCTCTTTTTCCGCCTTTGTTCATTAGAACCCTGCATTAGCTTCACAAATGTGTTAAAAAATTATTATTTTTGTTCCACTTTACTTTTTTCCCTGCTGCTTTTTTTTCTTATTATAGCTATTAGGATACTATATTTAGAATCTGATGTATCCAAAATACCTAAAGCAGTGTTTTGGATACATACATTGTGTCTCATGTTAAAGGAACACTCCACTATTTTTGAAAATAGGCTCATTTT